CGATTTGGCATCCGAGAGCCAAGCCGCGGGCAAGTACGTGCTGCATTTCGAGGAGGCGCCGCCGGGCGTCTTTACGCTCTCCATGTGCGGCCACGAAGCCCGACAACCTCCTTTTCAACTGGATTGGCGTCGTGAACGGCAACACCGTGTGCCAGACGCCGACGGAGAAGAACGCGTTCGCGGCCCAAGCCGTCGAGCACGTCGCCCACAATGCGTCAACGTCGGCACTCTCGGACCCGGTGCAGTACCTCCAGTCGCTCGATACGCCGGCGCGCGCGGTGGTCGGCAGTGTTGCGGCGCTCGTCGTCGTCGTCCTCGTGTTGGTGCTTGTCAAGGTCGTGCGCTCGCGCCGGACGCGGTACGAACCGGCGTCCGTGGAGTCCAACACTCCGATGCGCCGTCGCCGCGCGTCGACCACCGAAGAAGGCAAAGAGGAAGAGCTGACGGAGACGGCGAGTACGCGCTCTGCGATTGCTGAGATCGAAGGTCTTATGGAGCCTACGACAACGATGAGTTTGCGCCCGAGCATGAAACTCGACACGCCAATGCATCCGACGCGCGCAAAAGACCACGATGCTGTCTTCTCGAGCGCATGAACAAACTTCATGGATACAATAATGCACAGTCATACGTATCAGTATCCGGAGTTCTGTCGATATTAAAGCTGTAGAGAATGGGGAAGACCAGCGTCGGCAAGAACGTCCGTCAAGCCTGCGGGTGTCATTGCGTCAGCTCCGTCAAAGCACACATCATAGTGTTTGATCGCGAGGCTGCCAGCGGCGAATGAGACAAGATCCGAGTCGAGAGAGCGCAAGCCGATGCGTTGCTTCATGGGCAGTCCCACGACGTCACTCCACGTGAGAGCTTCAAAGACTTCTTCCAACAAGTCCGAGTCGTTTTCACTTCCGGTGTTCAGCGTCAGCACAGTCACACCGGCGTCCGCAAGAAGCGAGCCCAAGAGCTGCACATCGTACGGGTTGCCAGCAAATGGGTCGAGCAGCGTGACTTTGACGGGTCGGGCTAGAGACGTCACAGCGGCGGCGATGGCAATGGCATCGTCCCACTCGCGACGTGAGGCCGCGCATGAGACTCCAAGTGCGAGCGCGTGGGGCGCAACGTTTGAGGTGAGGTACATGTGCGTGGCGACGGCGGCTGGCACGTCAATCGGCGTCGTCAACGTAACGGAGGCAAGGCCCTTGACGCCTGGGGCTGGAAGCTGGAGACCGTGGACCTGGATAGCATCCGAGTAGCGGACGTGCTGGCCAGATTGGCTGTCGTAGTAGCTCGTGACAGTACCAAGTGGCGTCTTCTCAATCGTCGTCGTCGTCCCAAAGGCACGCCGACGTCCAGTCCGCAAAAGCGCCGTCAGCATATTTCAACACACACGTGGGAGTTGGTAAATCTCGACCAATCCACTTCAAGGCGTGTAGCAACGTTTGTATCGAATTTTTGCGAACAATCCTGTGAAAAGACTAGACATACTTCTTTTATACTCAATCCTGCCCACAATTCGTCAATTTCGCATATGACACACAACAAGCTCACTCGACACGATCCCCACGCCGTTCTCATCAGCGGTACATACTAGTAGTTATTATTCACGCCTAGTTCTTCACAGGGACCGATCGGGCTGGAGTGAGGAGGCGGTCCGCAACCTCGCGCCGCCCGGATGGAGCGTATATTCATGAGCGCGTCATCATGATTGCCGTACATTTGGAACTATCTACAGCAGTCTATTCACGAGATACCGTTTCGTGTATACCATGCTATCATCAAGTCGACACAGTGCGGTCTTAGCTGTGGGCCCCGAACGTATCCTTCGCGGATGGTGAAGCATCTATCGCTGCTGTCGTGGAAGCTGAGCAACCTCGGCGACTGGGACGCCAGGATCGAGGAGTTGCTTAGGTGGTCACACCGACCCTGGAGGATTGCCGCACGTTTCGTCGAGGTACTAGGCCTCGAAGGTCGTGGGTCCCCATTGATAGAAAGATAGCACACATTTGCTGGCTTCCGCTGCGCATGCACACAGGAAATCGCAACATGACAAAGGAGTACTAGTATTACGGTATGTATTCAATGCGATCGCTGGTCCGTCAACTCGACGTTCTAAGGTATCAGCGCTCGGCCTGCATTGAGCTTGCAGGCGGCACCAGTTTTCGCTCAGCCGGGCGCAATCGCAACTGCCATCGGGCGTGGGCCCGATGCGTGAGGACGACACTTCGCATGTCGACAAGTAAGCGCATGCTGCAACCACGAGCCGATGTACCATTCTTGCTCGAGGCTTTGTTCATTGCCGTGTTGCTCGACTTGCATCTGGTCTGGAGACGCTGTACACCACCAACACAATCATATGAGGCGGTTCGTCGCCTCGGTGTATGCCGTACTCGATGTACACGGCATCGAGGCGTGGGGTCGCGGCTTGCCCGACGCACCAGCTAACGAATACAATGCGTGGTGATGGGCGCTCGGGGCGTAGTACCAGGCGTGAGCTTGAAGTGCGCTATATTCGAAACCACAAAGTGCTTGCTTCCAATGCAAACCTTTCACGCATGAATCAGCAAAATCCCACTCGCCAGCATGCCTGTCGGACGCCGACCACTCTGGTGCTGGGAGCGTACCGGTAGTGCGGTATCCTATCGTGAGATTGCTACAGCATGTACTGTGAACACAGCATCACAGTTTCGATGACGGCGTCGGCAAGCGTCACCTCGTGTCTATTGCCCGCAGACGATACGATACGAGATTGATGCTGCACAGAGTTTATCCATGTAGACTCTGCCCTACAATTGAGAGCTCTAGCGGCGTCGTCCAAACTTAATCAGATTGAGGGCTCCGGTTCCATAGGAAGGGGGACTGCCGTCAGCACACATTTCGAATCCGACCATTATTCTAGGAAATCATTAGCCAAGTAAGATTTACCACATTATCCACGACGTGTCTTTTCTGTGCGCGATCATCCTGGGAGGGCACGGGACAGTGGTCGTCTCGCGCTCGTAGCTCCAGCAGCCACCAGAGAGTATTTGCTGAAGCATCGTCGCTCATGACGACGACGCATGCGAGGAGCTGGCGCGAGGATCCTCAAAGCCAAAGCTCTTGTGCCCACCGAAAAGTGCACGTTGTATTACATCTCGCCGTAGTCATTGATGGCCACGTCGACCGTAAGACACCACGACGCGATATCGTTCATGAATACGATGTACAAATCCTCGAGGCGTGACGGAAGCGTCCCGTCAAGCTTGTCGATGACATTTCTTGCGCCCTGGTTTTACCCGAGTTTGCTACGAAACTAGCGTTGAATCTGGGTCCGAAACCGAATGTCATTCTGACTTCTCTTGCAGTCTGCACAAACTACTCGTAGTAGAAAGGCGAGCATCGCCGACCACCACTCAGTCACATAATTGCAGTGCGTTGAGTTTATCCCCACGAACGCCCATGTGTTCGCAGTCCAGTCGTTCCTCATCAGCTTCACCAACGGAATACCACAGCAGCGGCATGCCTAGGAAAATGAATGGATTTGGAAATGTACTCGGACTAGGGTGAGCCCTGTGGCCCTACGGTCACACTATCGCGACGCGTTCGTTGGACCGACGCCACGCAAGCAGAAATTTAGACAACAGCTCTTTCTAGAGCCGCCTTCGACGCAAAGAAAAATTGGCGTCTTCGTTGGTTGGAGGCAGGTCGAGCTCGCGGCATACAACAGCGAAAACAACGCGTTGCTGCTGGTTGGCGGTAGCGAGGCCCTCTAGAAATCTCAGTAGGAACTCGCGATCGTAGGACTTTAAAGTTTCGAGCATACGGTTGCGCGTAGTAATAAAGACGTCGTATATCACACAGGTCCCTGGGAGACGAGGTTCACCATCAGGCTGCAGAACCATCGCATAGTCCTCGCAGAGCGCTTGTACAAACTCGTCCCACAGCGCAAGTGGGCTTCAAAGGTTGACCAAAACCAACAGCGTGAGGCAAAGAGGTCACGAAAATGACGTGGCATACGGCTCATAGATGCACACCTCGTGCGCATACTCGCTGCGCACATATTTGCCACTGGGCGGCACGTGCTTTGCGCAGAGTTGTCGACTCACTTCACGTCGGACCGCTTCGCTGTCGGTCAACTGCGTGAGCAAACCGAGACACG